TTTTCTACAAAGTGAAACCTAACCCACACTAATTTTGTAGTGGTAAGAGAAACGATCATTTTTTTTTATATTTCCCACTAAATATTACCGATCGCTTCCTCTGCAAGCAGTTTTATTCTTTCAAAAAAGTATGCCTCATGACACTTCAAACTTTATATAGCAGGTTCGTAAAGCCACAGGAACCTATATACTTGCATAGCACCTCAGTTTCAAGAAAATAATCCTTTCAACAGGAAAGGACCAAGAAACTGTCAAATGTTGGAAAGAAGGAATCCATTCCTAAGCAAAATACGCATGATTTGCTCGTTGGTACTCTATCGATAGGTATACCTCGTAAGAATGCTAATTCTGAAAATAACAAGAAAAATGGATTGGTGTTGTTAAAGCCTGTAAAGAGGAAAAGTGATAAGCTTTGTACTCTATAATTCTATGATTCAATGTAACAGATGGCCCTTTATAGCACTAGTGGCTCACTATCCCTGGAAGTTGGTCTAACTGGTTTTTTTTTTTTAAATGCCTGACTCTTAAAATAATGGCAAGTAAGTTTCTGCTAAAAGAAAAAGGTTTCAAAGGCATTCACTTGAGAGGGGACTTAAATATAACTTTTACAAGCCTGCGTATTAAGTTTACTTTATATCCCTCGTTTTAAGTTATTATTGTTATTATTTTATCATTTCCAGCCAAGGGTTGATCAGTATTTTACACAAATCAACAAAATAATTCAAGCAAGGATAACGTCATCACGTGTAAGATTTATGATGCAAGATGTTGTGGACTTAAGAGATAATGGTTGGGTACCTCGCAGAGAGGACAACAATCCAAAGACTATTGATCAGATCCACAAAGAAGCTGCTGATGAGGCTAAAAAGGCTCAGTTGAGGATTCAGATGGACAAACAACAAGACAAGAAAATGCCAAGAGGTTAGTTGTTGTTGTTAAAGAAACTTGAAATGTATGGGATTAGTAGGGATTCCCTTCAATGGTTTACCTCTTATTTGAAGGACAGACGCCAACTTGTTAAGCTGGGACATAAACAGTCAAGTGTCGCTATTGTTCGTCATGGTATTCCCCAGGGGTCCGTACTTGGCCCCTTTTTATTTATCGTCTTTGTCAATGACTTACCGCTTTACGTCACTTCATGAAAAATTGATTTGTATGCCGACGATACAACGCTGACTTCCAGTACGAACTATAGCTCTATCGGAAGGCTAGAGGGCATAGGCGTACGGGCCGGGGGGGCGGGGGGGGCTGCAGCCCCCCCAAATTTTGGGCAACTCAGATTTTTTGGGCAGCACGAGAAATTTGGGCAAAGCTAGTTTTTAAAGAAGCTTGCATGTGTCTGTGTATTTTTTTTCGAAGAGATAATTTCTGTTTCAACCTGAAGTCGGCGTTGTAAAGCCAGTTAAATTCACACGAGAAAGTGGTTGCCTAGCACGTGATCAGTTTCTGGTTATTTTTGAAGGGGATCATATGTTGATATACATTTTTGTAATTTTGTTATTGTTGGGCACTGTGCTGCACTGCACTAGTTAGTGTGGGGAATTTCCAGTCGTGAATTAATTAGAGTCAATTTCGGCATAACTTTCTAGAATCATATCGTAGATTATCCCCTGAAGACTCTCAGAAGATCCGAGTCACGTGCTCGGCAACCACTGTCTCGTGTGAATTTAACTGGCTTTACCACGTCCTTTACGGCGTAAAGCCAGTGAAATTCACGCCCGTAGTTTTTCAAAAATTTACGCGACAGTGGAAACAAATACGCAGCTTGCATAAGTTTTTTGTTGTGTAAAACTAGCGTTATGCCACATTAGACATGTCGAATCCAGCCCCACAAAAACGTAAGCGGGCCTATCGCCATCGCGTTACCTGTTCCGAATGTAAAAAAGACATCGTTGCTGAGTACCAAGACGCTCATGCAAGAACCAAGCATATAGGCAAGAGAGTTAAATTTACTGTTTCTCGGGCGCCAAATCAATCGCATCTAGGTTTCACCGGCGGCGATGAAACAATCAATATGCTTAAATACAGTAAAATTGACGCCGAAGACGTTGGCTCAGATCTTCAGAACGACAGCAGTACAGATATAGTGGATTCATTAGATACTGCTCCAGATAAGTCAGAAATCGAGATGATTCAAGTGAATAATGGTGTTCGGCGTGCTCCGGCTACGTCAGAATTTATGGATGTCGGTGTAATAGATGAGTCAGAAATCATGGATAAAGGTAATTCGGATAAGTCAGAGATAATGGGTATGGAAAACATACATAATAGTGCTGACAATGGTGCTAGTGCTCCGGATACCACGGAAATTGTAGACAATGGTGCTAACTCTGAAATCGTGCATAGTGCTGATCGGGATATGTCCATTTCAGTTGTCATAGATAACAGTGATCTGGAAAAGTCACTTAAGTCAGTTATCATGGATAATGGTGCCCCAGATAAGACAGATAACGTAGATGGTGCGCACAATTCTTCCTTGGATACAAATGTATATAGTGGTACTTGCCAAAAGTCCAGTGATATAGACAAGGGTCCTCAGCAACCTATCTTGAAGTGCTACGACCCAAAAAAATTCGGCAGTGAATCTTTCTCTAGAGATTTCAATCCAGCCTGGTACAAACGTTATCCATGGCTGAGCTACAACTGTGAAACAAAGACAGCGTGCTGCTACCCATGCCAGAAATACTTAAATGCCCACGATTTCACGTTTGACAATTGGAAGAAGATAGAGCGTCTCACTAAACACCACAAGAGTGAGAACCATCAAACGGCCATGGCGAAATGGATTGATAGCAGAGCAAATAAAAAGAAAAATACTTCAATACTGAGCAAACTCCAGGAATCACACAAACAATATGTGAAGGAAAATCGCGACTACTTCAAAGTTATCATTGAATGTATCATTTTAACGGCCCAACAGAACATCGCCCAACGGGGCCACGATGAACAACGTGATAGTTTGAGTGATAGCAGTGATGTAAATAGAGGTAATTTTCTGGAACTAATTCACTTGCGGTGCAAGGACATAGCTTGGCTGAAGGATAAACTTGAAAGCCAGCTTCAGAAGCATGCACAGTGGACATCTCCCGTGATACAAAACGAACTGCTACAAATTATCGCCGACCTCATTCGCGAGCGTATCACAAACGATGTGCGAACCAGCGGAGTATGGTATCATCTTGGACGAAACATCAGACATTAGCAGAACTGAACAAGTTTCACTTTGCCTTAGTTTCGCGCTGAATGGAACGAAGAAAGAAGCATTCATTGGTTTCTACTCCACAAAATCAACCGAAGGTGAAGTACTGTATGAACTGGTGAAATCTGCTATCACTGAACTAAATCTTGATCTCAAGAAAATTGTTGGTAAAGCATTCGATGGGGCGGCTAATATGAACGGTGTACACAAGGGACTCTCAACAAGAATGGAAGAGTGCTCCCCGCTCGGTATCTACGTCCACTGTTACGGACATGTGCTCAACCTCGCCCTTCAGGATACTATGACACAGATTGAACCATTGCGAAACGCTCTGGGAACTATCCAGGCTCTGTACAACTTTTTAGAAGCGAGTCCCAAACGACACGCCTTGTTTAGTGACATAGAAGTACAAGGTGAGGATCTAAAACTGACGCTGAAGTCATTAAGTACCACGCGATGGTCATGCCGGTGGGAAGCCGCAAAGGCCGTACACGGGCAAATGGAACGGATTGTAAAAGCCCTGCTCACACTGTCTTCAGACAAAGATCCAAAAACCTACTCTGAGAGCAGAGCCTTATTGACAGCCATTTGCGACTTGGAGTTTGTCTTTGGACTGTGTGTACTGAAAGTAATCCTGAGCAACACTAATAGTCTGTGCCGATATCTTCAGGGGAAGACGGTCGACGTCATCTCCGCTCGTAGAAATGCCGACTTGACCATTCAGACCCTACGCCAGTGTCGGAGCGAAGAAAGTTTCAAAAGCGTATGGCAGTTAGCATCAGCAATGGGTCTGAAAATGAAGAATTGGCTGACCAATTCTCAGTTTGAATTACGAGAAGCCAGAGCACCCAGACAAACGCCGTCCCGCCGCCTTCAAGCCCTTGTAGGTGAACACGCGCAAAGACAAACGCAGCTAACACCGGAATCGCACCATCGTATAAACACTTACTATGCGTCCATCGACAAGGTGCAGTCCGAGCTTGAGTTCAGGTTTAGCGGAAATGACCAGGAAATACTCTGTGATTTGGGAAATATCTGTCAGAGTGAAGCACCTGATAAAGAAAGCTTCTCCCGAGTTGCTAAATTTTACAAAATCGACGGGGAGATTCTGGAAGCCGAGCAGAAAATGTACGCGAGTTTTCGTCGTGTACGTGGATTAGGCTACATGACTGTTTCAGAAATATTGCAGACAATGCACGAGAATGATCTATTTGATATGTTCCCAGTGTTTTCTAGTGTGGTACATATCCTTGCAGTGATACCTGCTACATCATGTTCTGCAGAACGATCATTCAGTGGGTTGCGCAGATTGAAAACGTACCTCCGCAGCACCATGGGGCAACAACGTGTTAGTAACATCGCACTTATTAACACTGAAAGGGAATATGCCAACTCCGTAGTCAACAAAGACATTGATCGTATCATTGATATATTTGGCCGTCGAAATGGCAGAGACAGCTATTTCTTTTAACGTGCTTTATGAGCTCAAATGATAGATTCATATGTAAGAATATTTTCACTTCATATGTACGCCTATGTTAGTGCATCATATGACGACTGTTTCGTAAAAATTTGGGCAACTTGCGAGAATTTTTTGGGCAAATGGTTCACCGCCCCCCCTGGCAAAAAATTGCCCGTACGCCTATGCTAGAGGGTACCCTAAACTCGTCAATTGCCGAAATCGTCGATTGGGCAGCTTCGAACAAACTGCCAATTGATGAAGGTAAAACCAAGGCTATGCTAATCACTGGCAAGCGTCTCGCTTCAAAGATCAATGAAGAAATGACTTAAACTATTAAAGGAACTGAACTCGAACTCGTTCCCAGTGCTAAGCTGCTAGGTCTCGAAATTGACTCTGAACTGTCATTTACTTCCCATGTAGAGAAACTTTGAGAAAAGCTGTCTCAGCGAATTGGCGTATTAAAAAAGATAAGATCTTGCCTGCCCACGAAACAAAGGCTATTGTATTATAATACTATGATAAGATCTGTATTGGATTATGTCAGTTTAATCTGGACTAGTTGTGATAAGGAGAATTTAAGCCGTGTTTTTAAGCTACAAAAGAGAGCAGCAAGGGTAATTTCCGACGCTAATAACCAGGCGTCTAGTGTTAAGCTTTTTAATAGTCTACAGTGGCTTCCTTTTTATGAAGAAGTGAAAATAGCTAAATGTTGTGTGGCATATAAACGCATTAGGGGTGAAGTTCCCTTATATATTGAAGACTCCTTAAGACTCAACAGTCAGCAACATAGTCGTGTAACTAGATATAGTAATATATATTTTATTTGCCCAAAATTTAATCGGATCACCGAAGGCGGTAGGTCGTTCCCAGTTTCTACTTGCCAACTCTGGAACAGCTTAAGTCTAGACCTTAGAAATGCAGTATCACTAGAATCCTTTAAGAATAATTATCGAAATATCTTATTTAAAGAGCAGCAGGAATTACACCATTTCATAGTTTAATCATATTCTTGTATGTATTTCACTAGCCGTATCATTAGCTCTTATACTCATTCATATTGATGCAGAACTTTTATATTTCCTTAGTTTTATTTATTTTGTACTTTGACTTTGTATATTCTGAATCTTATGCTTTTTGTAATTTTAATTTAGATAGAGGGCCACAAGTTTACTTGTTTTAGTAACTATTCCGTGCCACCCTCTTTAAATAAAGTGTATTATTATTATTATTATTATTATTATTATTATTATTGTTGTTGTTGTTTGCTAACTTGAGCTTACATAACTTTGGAGATTTGCCGATTTATTTGGCTGCCACTAAGTTCTTAGAAGGATTTTTTTTAATAATTAGTTTTAAAACAAAACAATAGATGAATGGTGCAAACAATGTCCTCAGCACTATGGACAATAGCAGCTGTGTTTTTAAAGGTCACTGAAAGTAGAAGCTTCTGAGAACTTGTGGCTCCAGCTTTGTTTTGGTCACTGTACTTGTAGTTCTTTTGGTTCTATTTTCCTTTAGTTTCTTAAAAATAGCTGTAGTAGTCGGGGATAATCCCCTCCCCTCCTCCCAGACCCTTGGCAACAGCGCTGCTTACTTCTTTTAAATGCTAGATTCTTGAAGGGTTGAAAGTGAAAGGGGTATAATTATATTAATTAATATGTAACTATTCAACTTGGAACTGAAAACTCTTCTTAAATAGCCTAAATATTTGCATGAGTTGAATTTTATTCAATACATCAAACACTGCATGCCCAATTATTATAATTATTATTATTATTTTTTTTATTGATTTTTTTTTTTGCCCCACCAATTTTTACTTTCAAGCGACCTTTATTTCACGCCAAATTTTCAACTACACAATGTTTGCTTTCAACCCTCCAAATTTGTTGGTATTTTCTGCTTGTGAAAGAAAAGGAGAAATAAACGTCACATCACAAGTAAGCTACGGTTATTCCACTGTTGTTGTTTTGCTATTAATTTGTTTTGGGTTACTGAGAAGGAGATCATTTCTTCTAAGCGCTTTTGTTCTTCAGGGAACATGGGTGAGCATGATAGTTCACGACCCTCTATCCCTCAGGCCGATGAAACCTGGACAACAGTGCGCAGGGGACCAAGAAATGTAAAGGTCAGTGACTGGACGCTAAAAAGTTCCAAAACATAAAGGAGCATAGAACATCTTATAATAGTTTACATGTTATGGGGCAGTTGCTGGGAGGTAAAATAACAACTTAAGTTTCAAAAGGGATTTGCTGTGGTGGGTAATCATGAACACAACTGAGAAAATTTCATTGACAACTTTAAAGTTCCGCTCATTCTTCAGTTAACTTTGTCTTGCATTCAAATAAGTCCCCGGTATAACGTCTAAAGTGCAGATTACTAAATACTTGACATCCCACGGTATAGTGTTTCTTTTAACGTTAACCTTGCTAAAAAAAAATTCATTAGAGGAATGGTAGAAAAATTCAAAACCTATAAGCATCTCAGTGAAAATTTGAAAACCTGTGTCTTGCTTCAGCTCCCTGTGGATTGTGAAAACATCTTTGTGGGACCAGGTGGCAGAGCTTATGGAGCATGGGCACGAGGCAGTGCTGGTCCATCAGCTTCTGCTGCGGCTACTGATGCTGATAAAAAACCTGCCAACAGGTAACATTCCTTAACCATGTTCTCATGCCTAGGATTTGAAAATCCCAAATTCTATTTTGTAAAATGCTGAAAAGGAAACTCTAGGTCAACAGTTATACATATGTGGTGTACTTTTGTAATTTTGCAGATGAAAGGACAATAGTATGTGCATGTCCTCTTTACTTTTTATATGAACAATAAGCTTGGATGTACAATGGAACGAATGGTCACCACTATCAGTTAGTCACTATCAGTCCATTTATGAGCTTTAAATGAAGCAATAACAGAGTTAGAGGGATATTGATTAAGGTGGTTCGTCACCTGTTCTCCACGTTTTATCTTGATCCATAAAAATACCACCCTCCCCTCCCCCACCACCACCACCACCACCACCACGACCAAAAAAATACCTGAGACCAATATTCAGCAATCTCGACTGGACAGGGTTGGTCAATGAAGCTGTATATGGTAGCGGTCTGCAGTTTGTTTTTCTTAACATGAAAAAAATGCCTATGTTAGGTTTCTTTTCACACCGTTGCATCAGTTGAGTTCATAATTTGCCACGATTATCTCACTCATATCTGCAGTTCAGACATGATTTGTATGAGCAAATTTGTCATATCCATTTTTCTAGATATTCTACCCTGGCTTGGGAGAGAAGGCACTTAGATCCTGCTACAATGTCCCTTGGGGAACCTCGTAGTTCAGTATCTGGTGGAGGAAGGCGAGGACCTTTCTCAACCCAAGAACGTGAAGAGGCTCTTGAAGCTATGCGTGCCGTAACACAACCAAAGGTGTGTATTACTGACGTTCAAACTGCATGGTAGCTCAGAATTGAATGGTGATATTTAACAACAGATTGAACCATAAAGTACTGCTCGATATATCACTTGGCTTGTCACACTTTATGAATTCATGAAGAGATCGTCTGTCGAACTACGTGAAAATGCTGCTCAGTGTTTTAGTGTCTTTTGTAGTGAACTCTCTCTCAACAGATACCTCCCTAAAATGGGCACCTGGAGTTGGCCCGTGCATTTTTTCGAGAGCTAAAGTCTATGAGAGTATAGACCACAGAATGGCTCGATGATGGCAAACTTGGTTTTTCTCAGTCTCTCACACACGCAATTTTGTAAGAAACTTCCTCGAAATTAGAGGTCTTGACTCTTCGTTCTTATAGACCACAGAAATGGCATCAAAATGTTCAAAACTTTGCAGTTAAACCACGAGCCACACTTTTTAACTTTACTTCTATGGTATATAAGAGTGTAGACCTTAGACAATTGTTATCTATGAGTTAAAGTGAATTCTCTATGGTGTCCATCCAAAAGAGAGTTGACGGTAATCTTTTTCATGCATTAAGCCGATGAAGGTAACTCGTACGGTCCAATCGCTTATTTCTTTCTAGCGTAATACCCAGGCAAGCGGAGGGGTTCGAGGGTCTTTCATTTTAAAACCTGGAGCTGAAAACTTTCTTGAGGTTGCATTCGTGGGGTCAGCAGTTTCTGTTCCAGTCCAAGAACTAACAGTGGAAGACATGGAGAAGAAATCAGTTGCTATTATTGAGGAGTACCTTAACAGCAAAAATATGACGGTATGTTTGAGAGATCGCTGAGTAGATGATTGTTTCAGGGGCACCCAACGACTGCTCTCTGTAAAATATTTGTGCGGAGAAGCAAATATTGCTAGAATTTTCTTTTTCTTGAGGACGGCTAAAAAATTTCTAGATGAACGTTCCATTCATGTACAATTTTCGAAACTTATCTATTAAATTCCCTACGATTTTCTGAAGTTTAATTTTTCATATTTTACTAACCGGTTTGCACTATTTATTTGGGCGTGGCCCATATAGAGTAATCAAAACGGCTTGTTTTGACGCAAAAGTGTAATAGGCTCGCAATACGTGCTAACGTAAACAAGGCAAGTAAACCAGCGAAGCGAGGCGAATGTCTGCCATGCGAACGTCTTGTGAAGGTAGGAGGCATGTGGGAAAGAAAGCTCTGCTGTCAGGGTACTTTATCCCACTTTTACGATCTCAAAAATTAATCTGAGTCTTCAGTATTTTTACCTCATCTAAATTTGGAAGTTTGAAGTCCAGGGATGAAATCAGTTAAAAATATTCGTACTATGAACGGTTTTCGTCACAATAAGACTTTGAGCGATCTTAAATTGTTTTGAGAGGTCGAGAGCGAAAGGAGATTTGCGGAAAAATGTTTTAACTTTCAGCCTAGAAAGATTACAAATACATTTAGGAATTGGTGAATGAACTTAAAAGGAATTGGTTTACGGTCGGCAAGAAAGGAGCGTTTTAGTGTATTCACGTGCGTGTTTGCTCGTGAGTGTCAAAGTCACGTTTGTGGGAAAAAGCTGGGATAAGATTTATGTGTAAATCCAGGCATTATACAAGATCAAATGCTGCGGCTGCCAGGCTTCTTACATTGGTAAAACCGGCAGAAGCCTTAGCACGCGACTGACCGAACACAAACGAGCGACGAGGAATGGTGACGTCAACAATCACATTGCTGAGCACCATTTACCGACGAAACATCAAATTGACTGGGGCTCTGCGACATGTATAACGTATTCTACAGACTACTATCTACGTCTTACTTTAGAAAGCTGGTTTACTAACTTAGAAAAAACGCCACTGAATCGTAGCCAACAGTTACCAGTGCGGTACAAACGACTTATTGACGACATCAAGCAAAATTAACTATGAGAGAACGACTGGAGAACTGACAGTTTAACTAACAATAGACGACTATTCGCGCCACTCCCTTGCAACGCGAGTATCTGAATAAGGGCTCCGCATATCATTTCTGCCCAGTTCGCGTAAGAATCCATTTGCTCTGTTAACCGATTCTTGTTTTATTAAGAAGGCTGACGAACCGCTCCCGCCCCGGCCAATGTTACAGCCCAATCGCCAGTACAGTGCCGATGACTGACTTTCCCTCGCCTGTGTTTCGCTGGTGCTATACTCCCAGTTTGTTTACTGCCATTCCCTTGGCTCCCGTTAGGTTTTTACACGTTAATGTTTTGCTTTTGATTATCCAGTAGCGGTGTTATTTGTACTGTGCCTCGCTATCTGCAGTTTTTGCAGTGTTCTTCCCTCGGCCCCTCGTAAAGTTTTAGTGCTTTCCCTTCGGCTCCCGTAGCTTTTTACACGCTTTCGTTGTTAGTAACTTATGTTTTGCGTGTTTTGCCTCACAAACTCCGGCTTTGTGCAGTGCTATTCCCTCGGCTCCCATAAAGTTTGTTGCACGCTTGTGTTTTATTTTGCTTTATTCCCTTTTTTTATTATTGCAAGTAAAACACACACACAGAAAGGGAAAAAAATTACACAATAAATAAAGTAATAAAAAGAAAAAAAACAAATAGCGAATTTACACACTTACATGGCAGTACTTACAAATATTAAACTAGATTACAGCAGGGCTAATTCCATATATTACTGTACTTAGTATGATCTATAATTAATTTTTACCTTTTTTTTTTCCTTTTTTTTGAGCTATTTTGAAAAAATAGCTCATATGTCAGTGGTATGAGCGTATGTATCTTTGTGGCTTTGTATCTTTGTATGTTCGGATGTTTGTTGCAAGAGCCAATAAGGTTGAAGGTACTTTGATTTGATGCTTAGGAACCAATGAGATCTTGGCATCTACTTAAACATGACATTGCTAAAGGTCGAACAAGGGCACTTTGAGACCGCCATCTTGATTCTTCACAATTTTTTCGTCTTTTATTACGGCTACAGGTGTTTGGAAACATTATAGCGGAGCTCTGGCGCGCGAAGCGCGCCTGCGGAGCACCATGGGCAAGTACATCTACCCATACCAGAAAATTTGGTAATCACGTGACCGTACACCGCCCGCCCGTCCGTCCGCACCACAGGGCAACCAGCGTTTAATCCTCACACTTTCTAGCCAGTTTGGGAGCACAGGAAGACTGATATTGCACATCAATGTTGTGATCAATTGACAGCTGTCAAAAAGGAGATCAGCTGACCAGTATCACCTGACCGTATCGCGGGCTCAGGTGTCGACCCGTCGAGGTCGAATATCTATTTGAAGTTATCCGCTGACAAGTTACTAGTTTTCAAATGATCGCAGGCTCAAGTTTATTTTTTTTAATTCATATGAAATATGTTGTGTTTTGTATGTGCCGCACAATTAAAATGTTGATTTCAAACTGACCCCGGAAGCTAAAATTCAGCCAGTTTTTACAGGCAGGGAAAACATGCCAGTTGCTTTTGGCTTTTCTCTCCAAGGTCACGCGTTGGTCACGCTCTACGTCCAATTTTTATGCTCTGATTGGTCAAAATTTGACAGGTGAGTTGATGCGGAAAAATTATGCAGCATCTTGAAACTTGTTTTCTTTGCTGAAGCTCACAGTGTTTTGTGTCAACTTGTCATGTTTTTAACTGTCTTTTTCCACTGAATGTACAAAATGAAATTCAGCTGCTATCAAGAGTCATCTGTTATTCATGGCTAGTTTGTTTATTGGGTTTTTGGTTGAGAAATACGTCGCTTGTCAAAGTCGGAAATCCGATTTCGGATCGCATCGTTTTCGTTTTTCACCTTGCTTGATGCGTAAGAGGGTTGAAAAGTCTGAAGCGATTCTGACCTTACTTGATAGTTTCATTGCATCTCGAATGGTAAGCCTGAGTAATTATTGTATTTGACGTTTGTTTTCTATATCTAATTTAATGAAGTGGAGCGTAGCTTATGCGGCTATTTAGTTTATGCACGTCTTTAATTTTAAGATTTGAGACAATGATCTGACCGAGTATCAGGTTTGATTATAAGCTTATAGAACTTTAAAAAGCCTTTAGACATTTTCTCACCGCAAATAGAAAGAGAACGTTCCAAAGAATATTTAGTTATAATTCTGGCTGTAAAAGAAAGCTTCGAGCGATTTTCTTGCCTCAAGTTCATCTTTGAAAAAGCAAACAGTGGGAAGCCGGCTTACAAAATGAAAAACATAAACAAGGATTTTCAGAGACACTTTAATACTTGTCTTCGTGAATGAAAATTGTCTCTGTATATTTTTCACCGAATTATTTTTCCTTTATTGATTGTTAGTAGTCTCTTGCAATTTTTATCGCTGTGCCGTTTGTTTTCAGTCGCTCATGAACATCGCTTGCATGCAGGAGTAGTCAAAAAGCCGCGCGTATCAAACGCTTTTGACGATTACACATCGTTATAAAAGCATTAAATAAAAAACTAGGGGTACCTTCCGGCAAGTGCCGACGAGGCGAATTCGTTTATCTTTTGTGAAATGTGCCTATTCAGATCTTCGCGATATTTTTTTTTTCATAATTGCCAACGAGGCAACCGAGCTAAGAAGCGAGGTTGACTCGGCGGCAGAATTATAACGCCGCGGAATGTACGCAAAAACTCTCAAATTCTGCGTAACCCTCTAAAATTTGCATTTTTGACCATATTTGGGTGTAAGTAAGACCCCATATTTGGGTGTAAGTAAGACCCCATATTTGGGTAGTGACATCATGGTCTTGTATTTACAACACGTGGTTCAAGATTGGGTGATTCAGTGTGAAGCTGTTCGTTGTCTGTTCAAGAGGGCCTAACTGGTGAGCAAGCTTTAATACGATTTCTAGTTTGAAAGGGCAGTTAGTGCTCTGGTTTGCTTCATAAATTGCGTTTAAAGCAGCAGCTGATCAAGGAATAGGGTTTTACGCTCAAATTTTTGTCAGAACTAGCTTGTTCTTTGCAGCGCTATTTACATTGAGGTAGCGTGAACCAGGGTTTTCAGTGTTCTCCTTTCCTTTGTGAATTGAATTTTAAGCGGTAGTTGATCAAGGCATAGGGTTATATTCTCAAAACTTATATCAGAACCAGCATGTTCTTCGCAGGTCGATTTACATTGAGCCAGTCCTCACCTTCCGTGAGGACTGTGAGGAATGCAACGTATTTGCGGACCTAATATTTTAGAATTTATTTATGTCTTTCGAGAGATTTTGTCAACCAGCATGTTTTTCTGCTGCTCGATTTGCATTGAGACAGCCCAAAACTCCCGTGAGGAATGCAACGAATTTGCGGACCTTTTGTTTTGAACACTATCATTATGCCTTTCAAGACACTCTTTGTCCTGTGACACTCGCTCATTAGATCTTTGTATTTTATTCAACTTTATATTTTTATACCTCTGATACATTGCGCCCCATTCTTGCGCGCTTTTCACACATTTTACTTTACACCATATTTTTTCTTATGTATATTACCATGCGAAATACTTTTCTTATCCGATGACGCTCTTGCTCGGAATTTAATTATTATTTTCAATTTCAGCAGTCAACGGCCTCATTTGAACTATATTTTTCTTTCTAATATTTATAGCTTTGATACAATGGAATTTTCCATGAAACATAAGTGCTAACTTGCTCATTTTTACCAACAAAGCTTCAAGCCATGTTGTTATTGTTTAATAAAAGTGAAAGCCTAGAATGTGCCAAAGTTGTTGTTTTGAAGTTGGGTGCCATCCTTTTCTATAGCGGAATCCACTTTAAATCTCTAAAATTAAGAAAAAAAATATATCGCGAAGATCTGAATAGGCACATTCCACAAAAGAGAAACGAATTCGCCTCGTTGGCACTTGCCGGAAGGTACCCCTAGTTTTAGAGGTTTACAATGGATTCCGCTATAGAAAAGGATGGCACCAAACTTCAAAACAACAACTTTGGCACACTCTAGGCTGTTACTTCTATTAAACAATAACAACATAGCTTGAAGCTCTGTTGGTAAATATGAGTAAGTTAGCGCTTGTGTTTCATGGAAAATTCCATTGTATCAAAACTATAAACGTTAGAAGAAAAATATAGTTCAAATGAGGCCTTTGACTGCTGAAATTAAAAATAATAATTAAATTCCGAGCAACAGCGTCATCAGGGATAAGAAAAATATTTCGCGTGGTAATATACATAAGAAAAAGTTGGTGTAAAATAAAGTATGTGAAAAGCGCGAGAATGGGGCGGAATGTATCAGAGGTATAAAAATATAAACTTAAATAAAATACAAAGATCTAACGAGCGAGTGTCACAGGTCAAAGATTCTCTTGAAAGGCATAATGATAGTCTTCAAAACAAAAGGTTCGCAAATTCGTTGCATTCGTCATGGGAGTTTTGGGCTGTCTCAATGTAAATCAAAAAAACATGCTGGTTGACAAAATCTAAAGGCATGAATAAATTCTAAAAAAGGTCCGCAAATACGTTGAGGACTGGCTCAATGTAAATCGATCTGCGAAGAACATGCTGGTTCTGATTAAGTTTTGAGAATATAACCCTATACCTTGATCAACTACCGCTTAAAATTCAATTCACAAAGCCAAAGACAACACGGAAAACCCTGGTTCTGAGTCGAGAAGGGAACGCGCTACCTCATTGTAAATCGAGCTGCAAAGAATAAGCTGGTTCTGACAAACATTTGAGCGTAAAACCCTATTCCTTGATCAGCTGCTGCGTTAAACACAATTTATAAAGCAAACCAGAGCACTAATTTCCCTTTCAAACTAGAAGTCGCATTAGAGCTTGCTCACCTGTTAGGTCCTCTTGAACAGACAACGAACAGCTGCCCACTGAATCACCCAATTTCGGACCACGAGTTATAAATACAAGACCATGACGTCACTACGCAAATATGGGGTCTTACTTACACCCAAATATGGTCAAAAATGCAAACTTTAGAGGGTTACGCAGAATTTGAGAGTTTTTGCCTACATCGTGCGGGACTATAAATCTGCCGCCGAGACAACCTCGCTTCTTAGCTCGGTTGCCTCGTTGGCAATAAACATAATAAATTCTTTATTATGTTGGAGCGTATAACTCTATTAATCATAATTTAAATAGTCGACTTTGGCGCTTGTCAAAAGTGAGAACCGGCTAGCCGTATAGCTGATGTTGGAAATTTTTTTAACTGTTTCGCTAAAAGCCCACACGTGCTGCGATCGTCCTGAATATTGAGTGAGTGCAATTTGTATTGCAAAATTGTGGAATACTGCATTCTGTCCGAGGTCTGTATGATAAAAGCAGCGCCTCATGGTACTGTTTCACCTCAGATGTGATGTATAAAAAGTATAAAAGGTTGGGTTACACGTACCCAGACTTGTTGGCAAGATTTTGTAAAGTAAACTTGCCGAACGCAAAAAACTCGGCCTGATTTGTTTTCCAAGAATTTGTTTTCCAGGCCTACTCTACTGTGATCAAGAGCCCGCGTTCTTAAATGTGATCGAAGATGATTGCTATTTTTTGGGTGTACATATAAGGCTATCAACTCGATGTAAGATTAAGTTCACTCTTAGCTTGGACTGTTTGCAAATTACTTTTCTCTAAAATCACTTAACCTTTCCCTCAAAAGTCACATGAATGTGCTCTAAAGTTAACAGAATTGTGGAAAACAAGCTTATTGTTTGATTTAAATTATAAATTCGAGTTAATATATAGGAGCTTCGCTTTTAGCCCTGGCTAAATCTATATATTATTAAATATCTTCACGATTCAAACGCTGTGTACAGTGATGCAGCTGTTTAAGGGTTCATATTTTAGTGTGGATGCTACTTCAAGACATTTCTGACCGAATTCGGCTATCGCTAACGGTACTGACGCACGTATTTATTAGTTGTGTTTCACCTGCTTCAAGGTAGAGTATAAAAGATCGTATATTTTCAAAGTTCTTCCAGTAAAGCAATAATTGATATTTAGATATCGACTTTAATTCGAAAGTATGCGGCCTATAAAATGTGGTTTTAGAAGTTTAAAAGGCAGCTTATCTTTTTGAAAGCTTTACCGAGTATTGTTAATCCTGTAAACAAGCTTTAAAAATATTTTTCTCTCGCTTACAAAGTTCAACAGACCCTTTTCGTTACGGCAAAACAAACAAAAAAAAAGAATAATAAGTGAACAACATGATACATCCTTCCTGCATACTAAACATTATAATTATTGAAACGTATTTTATTTAGTAAAGATGCGTAACTTAAGTAGAAACAGTAGCGTTAATTAGGGTATAAAATTGGAAGAAGCTAGTTGACACAATAATTAGATACCGTTTTACTGAGTGGAGTAACATGATATGAGCAGAAATATATTTCGGGCGTTTGATAATTTTCTTAGAAGTTAATAAATGTTAGGCTATCAACCTTGACGTTGCATGAAACATAATTTAATTGCAGATGTTGTAATGAAGCCGAGGTGATTTCTTAAAATCGTTTGAGAAAATTTTGTAGTAAACAATTTGCGTTTTTTTTACGTACGAATTGTAAAAGGGCCAAAGACCAACATCTTCACGTGCAAATTGTGTGCATGAGTTATTTTTATAATTCTGTTTACTAGATTACTGTGTGATAACTCGAATTCCCTCACGTACGAACGACGAAAGGGGGCAAAGTCCAACACTTTCACGTGCCAGTTGTGTGATTGTACATCTCATGCAGATTGGCTTTTCACAATAATAATAGTAACTTGAACGTATGAAGACCTGTTTCGTTTTGTAACCAATGCCTTAAAAAAGGCTCTTGTCTTTTAGGAGCCAATAGCTTTTAAAACATGAAGAAATAAGTTGTCGGAGTTAAACACTGTTTCAAAGAGTAGAATCGCACGTGAAAACCTCGTGAATTGTGATGATGCAACCATCTACCACAATGATAAAAATCCTGGTATTTCTTAACTACTCGAATTCGATGAGTCACACTTTGGCTTAAAGGGAACCTCCACTTCAACAAAAAGATAACTTTAAATCACAGGAAATAACTGTTACAGTCAAGTCAATCTAAAATATTTTTAAAGAAAGCGTTGTGTCCGAAAGAAATAACTTTTAGGTTCGCCTATTTTTGTTTTCAAATTTTGCGGGCGTTGCCATCTTGAATAATTGTGAAGTGTTACGGTTGCCCTATTGTTATTAAACAAGAGCTCTTTGTGTCAGAACAATAGAGCAACCGTAACACGTCACAATTATTCAAGATGGCGGCGCCCGCGAAATTTGAAAGTGAAAATAAGCGATTTTAAAATTCACTTTTCCTGATTTAAACACTTTTTTAAGGACAAATTTCAAACAAATTTGTTTATCAACAGAATTTTATTCGATTTAAACTTATTCTGTAGTAAGAGTGGAGGTTCCCTTTAAGAAACTCCGAGGAAACCTTAGAGTTTTCCTTCTAATCAACGTTTGGTGAGTAGATATTTATTTTACTTTAACAATTTGTTTAACTTGCACCAAATGTAACAGGGAAAGACAGAGGAAAGTGAATATATAGCATGAGGATCGACGCAGCTGAGCGTTTCGCGTTTTCATTTATGTACGGCAATACCCAACTTCGCACAAAACCCAGTATACATGTAAGAGGAAAAAGGTAGATTCATCACTCTTGGTAAGGTTACACAGAAGCATTAAAGTTACACTAAAGCATTCAAAATGGCTCATGCACGTTTAACGTGTCTATGTTTTTTCACTTTTTTTGTGGTGAAAGTAATATAATTATTCATGGTAGGTGCAGATATTACAAATTTATGTTTTTGGAGTTAGGAGACAAGACCCAGCGAGGAAAAGAAAGGTTTCCATTTGTTTGTATTGCTCGGTGTCTTATTTTCTAATTGATATATATGTCTCAGATAAAACAAGAAATTGTTGTGAATTGGGAAACATTCTTTTGATCTGCATATCCAGATAAAGGTCTTAGCTATAAGACAGAAGAAGTTTATATGGAGCTTAAAGGAAGAGCTGTCTGGCGTTAGGCCCAAAGCGGTAGTCATGTCTAAGTGACTGCCTGGTTGGAGGATCCGGCACGACTGCAGCCATATCGAGAAATTATCCCAAAAATTTTTTGGTTTTTTGGCATTTCCAAAATAGATGCGTCAAATCCTCTTTCTCGTCATGGCAAAAAGTACATTTTTCGTCCTCTTTAACTCCTATTTTTTGCAGATAGCTGTTAGTTGGTAAACGTCTATGTAAAAATCTGAAATTAAAATCAATTAGTTTTGAGCTCGTTGTACAAGTGTTTGCTGCTTGAAAAACGTTTCTCCAGTCAACATTTTTATCGGTTGAAGAGTGGATGTCTTTATGCCATTTGTCTATACAAGATATGGGTTTTTCACTTTTATTTGCTTTTAAATGCTTGTAAGCAATTCTCGATGATTTTTGGCTTTTTGAGAAATGTGTTAGAAGGACTTGCATACTGCTGATGTGTTCTCGGGATTTTTCATTACAAAGATTTCACGGCTGAGACGATTCCGAAAAACATTAAGGGTTTTACTCGAATGTTATATCTATTCTGAAGATGGTCGAGGGAAAAAAAGTTGAGAGAATTCTCGTCCATGAGATGTTTAACTTTTGTTATACCCTTGGTAAGCCAATTATTGCAGAAAACTGGTGAGTTATTTATTCTTATTATTGAATTTTGTAACAGAGGTATAGAGATAGAAAATGATCTTTTGATACTATTTTCCTCTCGAAGAAAGGGTCAGACCAAATTTCTACAATTTCTTTGATAAAGGGGTGTTCTATCTTTAACTTATCAATATCCTTCCTGTTAAGATTTCCTAATTCGAAAAAAAGATCATTTATAGTCCTCCTTCTGGGTAGTCATTGATCATGATCGAGCGTTTAATTTTATCCTTTTTGCCGTTCGATGAGAAATTGAAAAAAAGCTTGTTGATCTCTTTTATTGCTTGGTGATTCGTTTGCAAGGGTGTGAGTATATAGACCAGTTGGGATGCTACAAGGCTTTTTAGTACTGTTATTTTCCCTATCAAGCTAAGTCTTCTAAATTTCCAGCATCCCAAGATAGTTTGGATTTTTACCAATTTCTCGTTGTAATTGAGAGAGAGTGTTAACTGGTCATCCGTAGAGAGCCACACGCCTAGTGCTTTGACCTTTCCCTTTTGCCATTTAAAATTTTTTTCCGGACAGAGTTTTAGGTTGCAGTTTCTTTTAGAACCTATCCACAAAGCCTCTGTTTTCTCAGTGTTCAGCCTTAGGCGAGATATGTTCCCAAATGCTTCTATCAATAACAGTGACGCTCTTACTGATTCTTCAGTTCCATCTAAAATGAGTGTCGTGTCATCCACATATTGCCTTACTTTAACTTAAGTATTATAGATTTTGATGCCCTTTATTTCTTTCTTATTGCGAATAGCTTCAGCGAGTATTTCTACGGACAGTATGAAGAGATATAAGGCGATAGGGGGCAGCCTTGTCTAACACCTCGACTTAACTCAAAGAAATTGCTTGCCCATCCATTGTTTAGTATGCAGCTTTCGATATTGCAGTAAAATAGTTCAACCCAGTTTAACAGTGCGGGGCCAAACCCAAAGTGCCGTAACGTTTGGTTTATGAATGACCACTCTAACGTGTCAAAAGCTTTTTCAAAATCGAGGAAAAGATGTAGACCGGGTAATCCTTTGTTTCTGCATACTTAATAGCGCTATCAAACGTGCGTATATTGTCGCTGATACATCTGTTTTTAATGAAGCCTGACTGATCTTGTGATATAAGTTCCGGTAAAACTATTTTGATTCGATTTGCAATAGCCTTTGATGCAATCTTATAATCGCAGTTTAATAGTGCCAATCGGCGCCAATATTTTTAATCAGGTTGGGATCTGCGTCCTTCTTTGGTATAAGCTTGACAATTCCTCGCCTTTGTGATACAGCGAGTTTTCCTGTTTGGTAAGAGAAGTTTAGGGCCTCTGTTAGTGTTTCGTAATTTTTGTTTTGCGTGTTTCGCCTCGCAAACACCGGGTTTGTGCAGTGCTTTTGCTTCGGCTCGCGTAAAGTTTGTTGCACGCTTGTGTTGTATTTTGCTTTATTCAGTGATTTTTGTTTTGCGTGTTTTGCCTCACAAACACCGGGTTTGTGCAGTGCTTTTCCTTCCTCTCGCGTAAAGTTTGTTGCACGCTTGTGTTGTATTTTGCTTTATTCAGTGATTTTTGTTTTGCGTGTTTTGCCTCACAAACACCGGGTTTGTGCAGTGCTTTTCCTTCCTCTCGCGTAAAGTTTGTTGCACGCTTGTGTTGTATTTTGCTTTATTCAGTGATTTTTGTTTTGCGTGTTTTGCCTCACAAACACCGGGTTTGTGCAGTGCTTTTCCTTCGGCTCCCGTAAAGTCAGTTACACGCTTTTGTTATGCTTTAGTCAGAACTTTGTTTTGCGTGTTTTGCCTCACAAACATCGGGTTTGTGCAGTGCTTTTCCCTTTTGGTTTTCTTTGTTTTATTCAGTTTGCGTTTGTTATGCCTGCTTTGCCCAGTAAGCTTCGGTTTGTGCAGTGATTTTTCCCCGGCTCCCCTCGAATTTGCACGCCTTATTTCTTTGCTTTGTGTTATTCAATTTTAAGTTTGTGTTCTGCGTTCTTTCCCTCACTAATTTATTCTTCCTTCGATTCCCGTAAAGTTGGTTCATCACTTTTGTTGCATTTGTGCTTTATTTGGTCAATCTGTTCGGTGTGTTTTATTTTACACTGTTTACAGTGGTGTTATTTCCTCGGCCCTGAAGATTTTGAATGATAATGTTTTCCTTTGCATTTTTCTGTAATCTGGTACGCGTGTTTCGCCACGCGGCGTCCAGTTCTACGGGTTTACTTCCTTCTCCCAGTGTATTTGCTCCCTTGTGTTCCTAGTTGTTTTGCTAATCTTTTAGTTTATGTGTGCTATTCGTTCCTCGCCTTTTCTGCCGTCATTTCATATGTTCTTCTTCCTGCGCCTCCATGGTAGCCTGAAAGGGTGTCTAATGCCCTAGTCGGATTACTGACGCTCAGGCTGCCGTCCCTTGGGTGGGTTTTTCTCGCGTCTCTCTGCGCCTTAGGTTTCTTTTTTACCTTGGACCCTCATCTCCAGTTTATTTGCTTGTTGCCACTCAAGGGTTGGCAGCCTATTCGTGTTTTACCACGCAGTCCTTTTGGTATTCCCTGAAAGACCTCCTTGCCCAGCTCTCAGCAAGTATCAGCAGTCTAGTTGTTTCATTATACTCTGAGTTTATGAGTACTTTTGTTCCACCCCTTCCCTGTCCTTTCCACTTCCAACTCACTCAAGCGCGGTACCATTTCTCCGTCTCTTATTCAGCGAGCGTGAAAGGGACTGTCGCGAATAGTATGCTGTTAAACTGTGACAATACAAATTACCTCATCTCGAATACTGCAGTCCTTTGTTTGTAGGCATAGGTACGGGTCAACGCAACCGTCTCGAAGATGGCAACTGTTATATTTTGAGAATCGGGCACAACAAGTCAATGTCATACGACGAGCTGCTCACTACGGCTAGCATGACATCCTTATACTGTAGGCGCTTACACCAGGCGTTAATACTTCTTTTTAAATGCTTAAATGGTACGGGACCTACTTATATTGGAAGCCTTTTTAAATACAGGCATACACCGTAGAGGCTAAGAGACGAGGGCTTGAATTAAGAATTACCTAACTTTAATCTTAAATTTAAGAAGAATTCTTTCACTAATTCATTAACTAAGTTATGGAACAGTTTGCCTTCTCAAGTGCGTCTTTCAGGTGATGCTAATGACTTCAGAAGTTAATTGCACGATTGCATCTTTTTAGAACGTGTCTTATAGTGCACGATTGTAGCTTTTAACTGTTTTTAGAACGAGTATTATGGTTTTTCCTAGTCACATTTTTAGTATGTGGCTTTTTGGTCGGTTTTAGCTTTTTATATTTTATGTTTTTATTGCCAAGTTTTTTATATGTATATATTTATTGAGTTGTTTTAAAATTGAACAATATTATATAGCTGTAATTATTATAGATTTTATTTATTCACGTTCGTATTTTGAACGAGTTTTTTAGATCTTTGACGTAACGTGTTAAAATAAATAAATGATTGATTGATTGATTGAACAGCGGATCGAAACGCACCAATCACTGATTACGAGTCTTCATAGCCAATAACATCACGGCTTAACTGACAGACCACCAATAACATCGTGACGTAATTGACCAATCAGATCAATAACCAGAGTATAACACCATCAACTGACGTGATACAACTCACTTTGACTCTGAAGATGACTACCGCACAGGTTGTCGAAAAGTCAGTCACTGTAAACAATAACAGTCCTATTCAGGACTACGTTCACCCGGACGATCACACTCAACCTTCTTTTGAGATTTATGTGTGTTGTCACGTTGATTTTTTTCCTGAGTAAAGCATTGCAGTATGTACTCTGTTTGTGCAGGTTAATGTACGCTGTTGTTCGAGAGTTTATCTTGATGATCTTGTCTGACATCAAAATTTACGATTCACTGTGATTTTTTAGTGTGGGCCTTTTGCGAACTATGTGTATTCTATCTTGTGTGACATTTGTTTGACGAGAGGATCGAAATGCACCAATCATGGAGAGAGAGAATTGTAATTACATGTTTCCTAAGAGTTCATCTGAATTTGTTGTTTTCATGTCCAATTTCTTGTTCTTATTTTGTGATTGGTTTATTTTGTTAGGTAGTGTGGATAATCCAATGAGCGACGATTTGGATATCGTTTGATCCGAAATTTTTCAAAGCAGCAGTAAGAAGCAGTTTGGATAAAATTTGGCGACGGTGTTTCGAGGAACGTGTTAATTTAATTGTTGAAGTATGTTATCGGACGTTAAACTTACAAATGCACACACTGTTCGCGGTAGGCCCACACTGAAAAATAATACTTAGTGTTTTCGGAATGGGCTGGTCCTCGAACTCAAAGAAAAACAATTGAAATTTTCAAAACATTCAAAGACTCATGGACCTCATAGACGCAATGAGAAATCGGAATGTCAAGAGTGTACGTGTAAAATCGATAAGAGTTTGAACAGAGGAACGTGTATCAAGTTTGAGAGTCGCAAGATTTGTGTAGCTGGTAATCAGTGTGACAGTAGCGAGTTTGATTTTCACAATGCAGAACACAAGGAGTTGCCTGTGATAAAAATCTGTTGCGATGAAGGAAGAGACGATTGTCAACAATCGAGACCAAAAGGGACTCCGGCTTCCTTTGGAACTACTGTGACAACTTTAACAATTCTTCTTATTCTTTCAATTTTGTTTCGCAGAGTGACTGTTAATGTCGTTGTTTTTGGTATTGCGCGTTGTGCTTTTACATGTTATTGTGTACAGCTATTTCGAGAAAGGTTGTCGGAAAAAGTGCACGCGATAATCCCGAAAGGTATCGTGGGTGGTTTTGAATTCACTGTTGTCCAACGAAGTTTGAGAGAGTAACACGAGAGGCCACGGACGTATGTTTGTGGGACCTAAAAGAAAGCAACAAAAGTAGGTTCAACAGCTACAGTGTCAGGAACAGTGTATTGATCATGTCCCATGTTACCTTTCGGGATTGTCGCGTGCACTTTTTCTCCGACAACCTTTCTCGAAATAGCTGTATATTGTGACGCAGTACATGTAAGACTCTCGGTGTCGGGATTTTGCATTATCAGCAAGTTTTGTTTGTGACTGTTTTGATTGCAGTGAGGTGACGACAGGAAAAGGTAATAAGTCAATTGTACAGAACGAAAATTGTTTTCTGGGGGAAATAAAAGAATTTGAATTGAGATATCGCCGTGAGAAATTTATTTATAACAGAACTTACAATGCAGTTGGTTTTAATAAGGTAAGTCGTTTTTCTCGACGCGGTCGGGCACCTAGCAGACTACCAATGAAGAAATTAAAATATTTATTACAGTAAACACGGAAAGTGAGACTTTTTGTATGGAAGGGAATTCTAAAAAATACACCGTTGTCGTCTAAAATTCATTGTTACGTTAAAAATACAAATGGTTTATACTTAAACCGGTACAGAAGTAACTGTAAGAGTGTGAGGTTCTTATGGGCAAGTCCGAAATTAGTTCGTAAACGAGGGAAGGTTTATCTGTCTTCTAAGCAGGAAAGAAGAGGCTATTTAGGTGGGGTGAGCAATCAAAATAGGGTTTTCAGTAAGTATTTGTCCCTCTATCCATTTGATAGTGCTTATAAGAGTTTGAATCACCGGGTTAATTTTGGCCAATTTAAGATTTCTACTGATATCTAGAAGAATCCAGGACCTTCAGTTTATGCAGATGCTACAAAAATAATTCATGCTCCATACTGTCAAGGAAACGTTGCAGTATTTGGGGAAAATGCTGGTCAACAGTGTGTTGCAATGAGTCTATGCGCTTTAAAGGTCAAATGAACCAAAAATTCGACATTTTTTATTTTAGTTCAATTCTAGTGAAATATGTTTAATATGAACCGAATAAACATACTATGAAGTTTCAGCTCAATTGAAGCAAGCATTTCCGAGATATTCGCAATTAAAAATTGTTATTTTTTGGCCCTTATCTTCGTAGAGCGGTCGGAAAAATTGTCGGTAAAAACAGCTTGTCACGTCAATGTTGGTCAGGTGAAAAAAAGCGGGAAATTCAAAACAGTGTTTTTCGAGTCGACTTGGCGCAGAAATTGTGGTGGTTTGTGCGGCCATAAACCTAGAAAGAACAAGCAATTTGTCTTCAAAAATTGCAAGCTGTGGTTATTACCTTATTATTTAATTTTCTTGAAGAATACATCATAGTAAAACGGACTTTAACGACGGCATTAATTTCCTTGCGCTGTACTGGAAATGTGCGTGCGTAGGTCCGATTTTTTTCAAGATGTATTCACAAAATGTGTTCATATAAGGAAGTTTCTGGATATATAAGGTCCGGAGCTCCACTGTGGACACAAAAACAAAATATCTTTGTAAAGTGATTTGCCCAAAGAAATTCACGTTTGCCCACAATGTGTTTGAAGTCATTGAACTTTGTCGCACTCGAGCTGATATTTTAAAACCCACGCTCGATCGGAACCTTTTGCTTCGCAGAACACTAAAATATAAACAAAATCCTCAATGTAGAAGTTTTGGCATTAATATGTGGGCACAAAAAGAGTCAATTGTTTTGAAGCCACTGCCGGCAGTTGACGTTCTCAGCTACTTCACAGCGAGTGAAAAGGGAAATTTGCGTACAGAAAGAAAACAAAACTACGTAACTAAAAATGAAAAAGAAAAAAAATACTCTGACTTAAAAAAATACTCTGACTATTATTACTTGAGCAACGGAAAAGTGATCGAAGTAGTCTGTTCTTCTCGAATAAGCTTGCTAGCCTTCTATAGTTCTGAGGAAGTTTTAAGCGCTCAAGTTTGTTCACTCGCAAGCGTTAGCATTACGGTTCTTTGACATAAGACAAGGATAAAGCTGGTTCTGCAAAGGTAAATGAATCTAGGCATGTAAAAAACTAACCGTAACAACTAATAACAGAATACAAGCGGGTTTTAATTCAACCCGACGAAAGAAGGGGAAGCACTGGACACAAAATCAATTTACAAATCGAATGCACAATTATCAGAAAAATACAAACCTCTTTGGAAATGTTCAAAACGTTTTATTCCTCCTCAGACTGACGGAATGATCTGTTTTTACTCTAACATTGGTTGTTCTGAATCCAAAGTAATTTTTAAGTGACGAAAAAACAACAACAACGACAAAAACAAACAAAAAAAGGCCTTTACAAGGAGCAAACGTTCGCACCTCGTGTATTTCATTCAGTCTCAGTCAGAACTCTCACAACGAGACAAACAAACGCAGGCGATAAGGGATGCGCAGAAGCTTGCCCAGAACGTTTTTTTGCCCTGAAAGACCAACATTGACGTCACGTAGTCTCCAGTCTATCACGCGGCCATTTCAGAAACGTTTTCTTGAAGTCTTCGGAAATACTCGGATTTTGATCTTTTATCTTTCTTTAAAGGCTTGGGAAGAAAAATCTTTACCCAGATCTCACTTAGGATGGTTCTTTTTAGTGTTTGGTGAAGGTAAAGCGACAAAAGAAAATATTTGAATTTTTTGGTTCATTTGACCTTTAATTTACAGTAAGATAAGAAGGATTACTTCAGTTGATGATATGATTCAAATAATGATTGTTGGTGATCAGTTATATCCTAGTCTGTCACTGCTTAAAAGACAATCCATGTTAATGTTAACAGAATTGCCAGAGATGGTTGCAGTGTTTGAGCGATTTTTTCAGCTTGAATACAGTGAAAGTTATACTTGTAACATGCATGGTGATGCCAGAGTTGAGGGTATTACTACTGTATATGCCACTGGGTACAGCATTTGAAACACTCTTGGCTCTGAACAACAACTCATTCATTTTAACGGTGGGAATTATTGGTGTTCGTATCTGCAGCACTGAGAGATATGTATGGTAACAGTCATAGTGGAGCTCCGCGCGCGAAGCGCGCCAGCGGAGCACCATGGGTAATTAAGTCTACCCATCCCGGAAAATTTGGTAATCACGTGAGCTACCGACCGTCCGTCCGCACCACAGGCATACCAATGTTTACTCTCATACTATCTAACTACTTTGGGAGCCCAGGAGAAAGCTGATTGCACATAAATGTTGTCATCAATTGACAGCTCTCAAAACAGGGTATCCGCTGACCAGTATCACCTGACCGTATCGTGGGCTCAGGTGTCGACCCATCAAGGTCGAGTATTTTTTGAAGTTATCCGCTGACAATTTACTCGTTTTCAAATGATCACAGGCTCACGTTTACTTTTTTTTTTAATTCATATCAAATATGTTGTGTTTATGTCAGTATCGCCCCGCACTATTACGATTCTGATTTCAAACTGACCTCAGACGCAAAAATTCAGCCAGTTTTTTAAAAAACAGGCGGGGAAGACCATGGTCACGTGTTGGTCGCGCTCCACGTCCAATTTTTATGCTCTGGTTAAAATTTGACAGGTGAGTTCATGCGTAAAATTTATGGAGCATCTTGAAAGTTGTTTACTTTGACAGCTGACAGAGTTTTGAGTGAACTTGTGATGTTTTTAACTGTCTTTTTCCACTGGATGTAAAAAATGAAATACAGCTGCTATCAACAGTGTTCTCTTATTCATGGCTGGTTTGTTTATTGGGTTTTTGGTTGAGAAATGCATCGCTTGTCAAAGCCGATAATCCGATTTCGGATGGCATCGTTTTTGTTTTTCACCTCGCTGGATGCGTACGAGAATTATAAAGGCTCAAGCGATCCTTGCCTTACTTAATAGCGGGTTTCAGGAGCTGCATCTCGAAATATGGTAAGCCTGAGTAATTATTGTATTTATATCTATTTTCATGAAGTCCAGCGGCGCAGTTTATGAAGCTAGTTTATGCACGTTTGTATTAAGATTTGACTGAGACACTGATCTGACCTAGTATGAGGTTTGATATAAGCTTAAGCTTACAGAACTTTAAAAGCCCTTAGTCGATATTAATTCACCGTAAATAGAAAGAAAAAACTTTCCGAAGAATATTTAGTTATAATTTTGACTGTAGAAAGAAAGCTTTGAGCGATTTTCTTGTCGTGAGTTCATCTTTGAAAACAGCAAACACCGGGAAACCGGCGGCTTAAAACATGAACTTAATCTTTAAGCTTACTACAGTAAAGACTTGAGGATTCTTAGAGACACTTAAATACTCATTTGTTTTCGTGAATGAAAATTGTTGTCTCTGTAAATGTTCTACCGAATTATATTTCTCTATTGATTGTTGGTAGTCTCAAAAGTGTAATTTTCATCGCTCTGCCGTTTGTTTTCAGGCGTTCATAAACATTGCTTGCAGGTGTACTCAAAATGCCGAGCGTATCAAACGCTTTTTAAGATTACACATCGTTATAAAACCATTAATAAAAAATAGACTCAATAAATTCTTTATCACGTTGCAAATTTGGCGCTTGTCAAAAGTTAGAACCGGCTGGCCGTATAGGTGATTTTGGAAATTGTTTGAACGGTTTCCCTAATTAAAAGTCAACGCGTGCTTCGATGGTCCTGAATATTGAATGAATGCAATTTGTCTTAAAAAATGGTGAAATACTGCATTTTGTACGAGGTCTGTATGATAAAAACAGCGCCTCATAGTACTCTTTCCCCTCAGATGTGGTGTATATAAAAAAAAATAAATAAACGATTGCTTTGCACGCACCCAGATTTATTGGCAAGAATTTGTAAACTTGTCGAACGCAAAAAATTCGGCCTGATTTGTTTTCCAAGAATTTGTTTTCCACGCCTTATCTACTGTGATCAAGAGTCATTATTGCTCTTAAATGTGACCGAAGACTATTTTTTGGGTGTATATATAAAGTTATATCAACTCGATGCAAGATTTGTTTCACCCCAAAATCACTTAGCTTTTCCCTCAAAAGTCACATGAATGTGCCCTTAAGTTAACTGATTTGTGGAAGACAAAATTATTGTTTGATTTAAGTTATAAATTTATCAATGGGAGCTTCACTTTTAGCTGTGGCTAAATCTATATACTATTGAAGGGACATGTGTATTGCTGAAAATACCATCCATGCCTAAATTAGTACAGTATTTTGAGAGTCTATATAGGAATGAGGATATATATGAATTTAAAGGTGTACATATTGCCAACTTTGAAGTAGATTTTTTTTCAAGCGGTGTTGAATACCTGTAGTATATCAAATGTTAATAGTTTATACCCATGTTGTTGTAAACAGTGCTGTGCTATAACAGTTTATGCAATGTGTTACTGTTATAAATCCTTGTGGTTACTGGACTTCAGGAACTTTATCTGCCCTTGTTAGTAACCGGAATAGACTGTACAATGTGATGGGTGTGAAAAGACATATTATGCCAGTCGATCTTCCTCAAAGTGTCAGTATCAGTAGAGCTGAGATAAACCTTACTGTCCGGGCTGTACGCACTGGTGTCCGATGTTGCAATTTGGCTGAGGGCAAGTTTGTGTTGAAGGTGTGCGTTTCAAAACATTGTCATGAAGTGACAGGATTTTTGTTGTGGTTTGGAACATCCTGTATAAGCTGTGTGGTTCAGCAAAGAAGTAGGGTAAAGGATTTATTTTTTGTGGTGGGATATCATGACAGTTGTTTAGCTGCTATAAGGCATGTTAAAAGTATGATACGCGTAGTACAACCACGCCCAAATATACGCTCCCACAGCGTCTTGTTACCCGAAGGGAAGAGAAGGGTTATAAAATGGCCTGGGTTTTTCCTTCGTCGTCGAATCGCCCTCTGCTCTTTAAAGCGCATGCCTGTACTGGCGGAATATCACGTGATCGATTTCCAGCAAATTCATTGGCCTAGAATCAAAATTCCCTTGACATGTCGAGAACGAAAGGCAGCTTTTTGGTCAGTCGGTAGCGTTAACGTTGTGGTTTTGTTGCCTCTATGAGAGATCGACAATTCTTTTGGTCGAATTGTTTAGTGCATGTGTAGTCTAGAGGACAGTGCATTCCGGAACTGTAAGACAAACACAGTGGTTCGATCCGTTTAATCGAGATCGGCGTTGCGATCGCTGGTTGCGAGAAGAAAGACATGCTAAAAAGGTGGGTAATGTTCACTTTTTATGTTTAGTGCAAGTCACGAGAATTTATATAGCAGTTGAAGAAACACTATTGGGCTTTGTTTTGGCGAGTCAGCGTGTACCGAGGTGCAAGTAAGAAGCAGTTTTGTAAAACGTATGGACCGTTTTTGTGCTAAATTGTACAACTTGACTGTTCGATCTGAACAAACACGTCCGCACACGTCACTGTTAACACCTGAGGAATTTTATGCTTTATAGCTTTTATCGAAAAACAGTAAGAAACATTAGAAAATTTAAAAGCAGAGAAATTCCTTTGATTTAGTATTATAGCATAGTTTGCACGTAGTTGCAGGAAAGTGGCAGTCAATACCGTTTCGGTGCATTAATTTTCATTATTATTCATTCAAAATATTTCCCCGATTCTGATTGGCTAAAAGCACACGTTTAATTCACCATAACCAGTTACTGATGACCAAATTTGAAGAATTTTGTGTTTAACGAGGAAATGAAGTCAAAAATGCAGCGTTCGTGCAGGTTAAGGCACCGTTAACCGAGAAGACCTGGGGACGAGGTTGAGTTGTTTTGGTTGTGGAAACCAAAATGGCGGTCATTTCACTCGTTTCAAGAGTAAGAACTAGGCGAAAAAATAGCTAAAAACATGGCAAGAACAGCAAGAAGACAACTCGAAGGGCGACATCTGCTATTTGGAGAATATTTCCGGAGCTGGACAACCTAAACGTGCACGATCGAAGATAAACTTAACATCGATGGAGGTAAGCATGTTTTAGCCATGTTTTTAAACTAGGAATTATTCTGAATGAATAATAAAACAATTATTGAATTCGGCTTTCGTATCATATGAAGAATTATGGAGATCTCGGAGGGTATTATCCGCCTCAGCCTACGGCCTCGACGGATAACACCCTCCTCGATCTCCATAATTCTTCATAAGATACTCAGCCTCATTCATTAATTGTTAATTCATCAGAACGGGCGTCGATAAAACCAGGAACACGGGACATTCGGAACATGCCGGAACATGAAAAAATAAAAATAATTTTCGTGAAAAAAAAATATAATAATAATAATAATGATAATATAAAGAAAGGTGCTCAGTGTATGAACAGAATGATTGACTTGAGTGACTGACGCTCTAGGTGCATGGTTTGCGCCCGGCTGATGCACAAAAAGAACACCAGCAAAGACTGTGATAATAGAGACAATAACAATATAATAATAATAATAATGAAATATTTTTTGCAAAAATTAATGATAACGTAAAATAACAAAAAACCGAAAGGGAAAGAAATAAAGAAAAATAAACTCGTATCATCTCCGGGTATGAGGAAACAATATTTTGTCGCAAATAATTTGTGGGGCGAGGGTCCATGCAAATGACAGTAATGAGTGAAGGTTTGCTTCTAAATTCAAAATATATTAAAATGGGTCGCGAGGAGGGGGGTTTCAAGCTTTCCTCACACAGCCACCCCTTGTAATTGTTTGTCATGCGGTTTAACGGTTATCCATTTACAGCTTTGCAACCTCAAGAAGAGCTTAGGGGCTCGTCGCTTTGAACTTTAGTAGATACTGAGATTCACATTCGCCGTGAATCAGTTGCAGTGGGAGTGGTAGAGCAGCGGTAGTTTCTAACTGTTATCAGTTAGCCTGAATTGTATCCGTTTCCCGAGTCGCAAGTGAAGTTTGCGACTCGAGGAGATGGCTGAAATTCAAGCTAGATCACAGCCCCCTATTTTCCTCCGCCAAGTTGAAGATTGCGATGGCCGCTGTCAAAGTGATTTGGGTATCCTCTGACGAGTAAACTGGTGAGAGTGAAGTTGGTGCTGATTCGAATGGTTTGCTAACGTGTGTGTGTGGAACTATAACTTTTATGGGAGGGGCTGTTGTGATTCCCGTGATCATAGAGATCCACACAGACTTCCTATGCCCGTTTCAGACCCCAGACAGGACACTGACAGGACGGAACCAAATGCTCCGAGATGATGATATATTTAGCAAGGTGGAACAAACAAACAAAGACGGACGGCTCTTTTCCTTTCTATTCACCTTTGACCCGGACACGTAACAAACGGATACTGTATATAATATTCAGTGAATTTAACTGAAAAATAGTGTTTTCAAAAATAACAAGTCGCATAACCAAACCTTTAAGTGTCTTCGATAAATTAGTCTTGGGTTCGAAATATAGGGGGGGGAACAGCGTTTCAGCACACTGAGTGGAAAAGAATGCAGCGTCACAGGGGATACCCAAATTAAATGAAAGCGGCGATCGCCATCCTCCACCAGGCGGGAAAAAAGAGGGGACTGTAAACTAACTTGAATTTCAGCCGTCTACACGAGTCGCAAACTCCCCTTGCGACTCGAGGAGACGTCTGAAATATCAGGCTGATTGTAAACAGTATAGAAACTACCACGAATTTGAGTATTGTCAACTAAAATCGAAAGACAGGAGCCCCTTAGCTATTCTTAAGTTCACAGAGCCTAGTCCGTAAGTAATTCATGTCAACCTCAAGAAAGCAAAGCACCTCAAGTAAGCACATGTCGGTTATATATAACTATTTGTTGCCTTGACATGAGCTATTTAATTACCGACTTGGCTTGACACGAGATACTGCACCGACATTTCAGACCATCGCAGAGCCAAATGATTAACTCATGGCAAACAATTACAAGAGGTAGCTGTGTGAGTAAAGCTTGAACACCCCCTCCTCGCGACCCATTTTAAGATATTTTGAATTTAGAAGCAAGCCTTCACTCATTACTGTCATTTGCATGGACCTTCACTCGCCCAACAAATAGCCACTCTGGATAGCCTAAAAAGCGTTTTCAACATATTTTGGAGGAAACCGTCGTTGGGTGCCCCTGTTGTTTTAAGCGAAATACCTTTTCAAGTTAAATAGAGCTGAACCTTCCAGACAGATTTAACTCAAGGTCACTGCCCTCATCATCAACATCATCATGATCATTGTTTTTTTTGTTTTGTTTTTTTTTTTTTAATAGGAAGTAGCTGTGTGCCTAAAAGAAGTCCAGTCACCGTCAATTCATTATGTCTTTGTGGATAAAATTCTTAACCATACCATGGAGAAGAGGGCATCACACCGAAGTGCAACTGGCAAGCTTCTGCATTTCCTGCTACGCGATGGTGTTCTCACAGCTCAGCAGTATTTGCAGGGGTAAGAGTGGATTTTTAATAATTCTGATGTAACTGTAGGGACTGTCACTAAGAGCCTGGGACCGGGTGTTTACCGTGGCCAGTACGACCCCCCAGCACCGTCATAACAAACAAAAGGAAAATAGAACCGAAAAAAATTCCAAGCTTTTGAGTTTCCCACCTACTAACGGCATATACCCGGCAACCTGAAATCTCAGCGACAGCCTGTGAAGTCAAGTTTGGGAAATATTTTAACACAAACAGTGCTGAATGTAACCCCTTCACACCACATAACAGCGAAGTACAGCTTTGACGCCAACAAGTTAGCTCCTCCTATTTTACAATGACTAGACAAACAAAGCTTTCAGTAATAAGAAATTGCGGAATGATTGAAATTTTTTCGAGTGCGAGGCATCGAAAGGCACAGATCTTACAGAAGGCGAAAGGCATTCACTGGGCTGCTATAGAACTTACACTAAACAGAGTATGAAAACAAAAACGTAACAGAACAGACCGTTGACGGTTTATAAGAAGAAGTAACTAAAACACTTATGACTCAATCAATTCCAAGCGTGCCCATCCACCCCTGCGCATTTGTCATTTTTTTTTATTATTATTATTCGGAGAGCTAGCCTGCCGTCGAAAGTGGTAGGGGATAAGGATGAAGGGAAAAAGGGAGGGGGATTGGGAAGAGAGGGTAAGGGAGGCAGCGTGGCCGAGTGGTCAGCGCGTCGGACTCGCAATCCGGCGGTCCCGGGTTCGAGTCCCGCTCTGGCCACTTGCTGGATTTGTGCTCGGTCGTCCCGAGTTCAAATTCTCGGCCACGCTTGTAAATAGCCAACTGGTTGCCTTCTGCCAGTTGGGATTTTTAACCCTGTTATGTTGTATTTGAATTATTTGTTTCTAAATATTTGAGTGGAGTGCCTGTAAATTAGCTGACTAGCTAAGTGCACCTTCCACTATAAACATGCCTTTAACCTTTAACCTTAACCTGCCTTCCGTTTTCCCCGCTTTCGCGCATTTTAAATTCCCCTTCCCTTTTTGCGCCTGCCATGCAGGCTACGGAAAGCTGCAAATGCCCAGCGGTGGGGCAAGCAGATTGACACAAATATCCCACCGTGGGTCGTTCGTAGTAGGTAGTGGATAACTTAACCTCCTTCAATACAAATAACCCTAATTAATTTGGAGATGAAAAAAGTACAATGGAGGTTTCCTGGGTGTCTATATTTTTGAGATACACGGAATAGAAGCACGAAAAATACGACAAAAAACTCTAATTTAAATTTCGTCCCCGTTTTTTGCCCGTAGTCGTTCTCGTCCTTAATCTTAAAGTTTCTAGTGGTTATTCTACCAGCAAATGGCGACAAAATGAGTTGAGAAACTTCGCCCTAAAGGGGCTTTCTGATGCTTTACTGACTTCTAGAAGGGAAAATAAAGCTTTTTCTTCTCCCTTCCCCTACATGCAATGTTGTGCCGCTGTTCGAGATACCTATAGTAAACAACAAACACTTAAACTTTGAATGAAGGGGAGGGGGAGGGGTGTTGATTCCGGCTTTTGTTCTCTGTAGTTACCTATTTGAGTACAATGTCTCAACAATTTTGTCGCCGATTGTGTGTAAAAACATCAAAAGTTGGAAGTGAGCAAAAGTTAAGGAGAGTTGGGGAAGAAAAAGAAAGGAAACGATAGCAGGCAAACTCACGAAAATTGAAACCTATAGATGCGAGAAAATTTGGTTATGACGTCGGCCTACGCCCGTCCGTCTGCACGACTGGCAGGGAGGGACATAGTAGACTTTGCAAGGGAGGAGATGGGGAATCCAAGTCATGCAGCTTGCGTTTGTCGTGGCGAAACGTTAACCAGTTCAGCAAGAGACACCAATGGAGTTTTTACAAAACCAGTGGTGGCATCGCGAAATTTTGGCTGTTTCCTGACACTAACCACATAATAAATTTAACTTTGTCACGCTATTGGTCACGCTTCAGCACCAATCTAGTCTCAGATTGGTCAAAGTTCTGACAGGTGAATTTATGCGTAAAAACGAATGCAGCATCTTCACTGAAGTTTGTTTATCGACAACTGAAACGTCATGTACTTTAAACTTTTGTTCTTTCAATGCTGCCACAACGTGAAATACAGCCGCTGTCAATCTCCTTTTGTTGTTCAAAGTTGGTTTGATGGTTTGTTTATATATTTGTGGTTGAGGAAAGCGTCGCATGAACGGGTGAATTCATATTTAATAGATGGCAGCGTTTTTCAAAGTTCATGCAAGCTTTTACTAACCTGCCTAATTCACTGCCTTTCAGGACCTGTTTCCTCTCTTGGTGGAGGTTGATTATTTATTGTCTTCCTGACTGGTTTACTTTCCTTATGATGTCAGGCGTATATAGAATATTTCATGGATAGTGTGCGCGGACGGTATTTACGCACGTGTTGTTGACTTATATCGCTGAAGGGTGCGATAAGTGCTAAATCGGAGAATAGTATGATAGGAGTTGTGATCCATTTATTGAGTTCTGATTATACGATTATTTCGATTTTCGAGTTTCGTTTTTGAATTCTCCGATTTTTCGATTCTTGCCCGATCGTTTCGACTTAACACTTAGACTAGTTCTTTTCAGTTTCATTCGTTTTGCGACTACGATTCTTAAGAAAAAAGCCCGCTGCAAATGTAATATTCCTTAAGCCATAAAGCAAAACAGGTGAGTCAAAGTAATAATTCCTCGTTCTTTAAGCCAAAACGAAAACAAGCCCCGAAACTAACCAGACTTGCCGAAAGACGCATTCACTGGGCTGCCACAAAACCTGTGTTGCATGAAAACGAGAAGTTTACTAACACAGAAAGCCAACAGCTTATGATAAAAGGAATTAACCCAATAAACCTATCCCAATTGACCCATAGGCCTCATTCAACCGATTGCACTGAGACTATAAATTGAAATTCAGCGAATCTTATCCCCACCCTACTGTAATTGTATATAATCTGTGCTTTGTCTTTACAAGAGTTCTGTTTAGTCAAGCATAAATTTTCTTCATATTCCATCGTCATATGCATGGGTCTAACCTAGCCTTCTCCACTGTGATTTTGAAGGGTGATCTGAGGAGCGAGAGAGGTAGACGATGAAACTAAACTAAAAATAGGCAGTCTGTGACTGCATGTGGCGTATTGTATAAGGGACGACGTCTGACATGTGCAGACTTTATACAGCATTAGTATAAGCTAAATCAAAATGGAACTAACCGCAAAGAAACCAGAGTAGAACAAATATCAAGAAAACTGTGGGTATGCAGTCTGCAATTGTGACATAGTGATACAGGGGTACATGTCCCGCTAATGTTTAATAGGTATCAGTCCAACAGATAATTCAGAAAATAACAAAGAGTTGAGTTTGACAGTTCGGGAGTATGCCAGTTTTGGAAGAAGCGAAAACAATGGTCTACGTCACCAACCAAAACATGATCACCATGGCGATGGTCATTTTCAAAACATACAAAATGGCGGACAAGGGAGAGGAAAGAGTATTGACAGAAATTCTCGTTTATTCTTGTTTCATCGAGCCTTACTATGAATTGGGAAGTACCTTGAGGACAAGGAGTAACCATTCTTGCGCTATAGTTCTTCGCTTATTGCGCGCTTTGTAGGCACTTCGTACTCACTGCGTATGTAATCAGTACATCGAAAAAAGGAAAGCACGCTAACAAGTTTGTGCCTATTTCTTTCATTAATTTTCTATATTATAAGAAAAAAGAATGCTTTGGAAACGACTGAAAAAGTGAGTTGTTCTATAATTTATTTCCTTATGTTTGCAAAGAGTAAGTTTTACTGTAATTTTTCCCGTTGCTTCTGTTTCTCTCTCGGGGAGTGAGCGACTGGCCGGCGAAGACGGCTGTAATTCAGGGTATTGTTTTGGTGCAAGCGAGTCAGTTGTGAGTAAAATATCTGTTTTTTTCGAATATGATGTTCTGTTGGTGTATGTCCTGAAGCGGTTCCGTCCAGGTATACAACAGGTTTACAAGGGATTTCTGAGGGTATTGTGTCCGCGTTTTCTTCTTGAAAACCCACAAACTTAAAATCTTGCTTATCAGCACTGATCATTTTTTCTTTGTCCCGCTTCAAAAAAACCTACTGCTTTCAATTATTCCACTGTCTGAAGTTCACTGATTATTTGCTCAAGCTAATTAACAAATGCAAGAGACTCTTTAGAATTTAATATACATATTGGAAAACTAAGAATGCCTGTTACATGTTTTTGGATATATCGATTAAAATGGGATACTATAGTCTTGTAGTCCACCGGATTTGACGAGAGGTCAGGTATCAACAGGGTTATGGGTTGTTATAAAATATCCTCTTATATGGGATTTGATGTATATCCGAATAATACTAAATTATTGTTTTTAACTCCGGGGTTGCCTTCAAACCAAAGGCATTGTAACTTTGAGGAGCACTTTTCTCCAAGTCTTCTCTGTGGGGACCCTCAAACAATTCTATTAGATAAGGTTTGGCCCAAAACAATAATGATTGCTGCACTTGGTATGGACACAACATAAGTTTTCCAAAGTTCCTTTTCATGGTTCTCCATGTTTCTATTGAGCAGCACTTTCAAGAAAACAAAGCTCACACATCAGAGTAAAGATACAATTATAAAAGTTATTAATTTTATTGTTACATTTTGTTTTTTGTAAATAAACATTTTATTTCTGGTCCTGACATAAACTACGAGCAAGGGAGCTATGCAAGTCACGCAGACCATTAGCAAAAATAAAGTAAAAACAAGTGTAACTGCAAATTTTACAGATTACGTTTGAGCATTCTTTTTACTGATTAGGGTTTAGGTTGGGGTTAGGGTTATGATTAAGTGCTGTTTGGGGTTAAACACTTATTTACCATGGTTAGCTTTCAGTTGATTCTTTCGGTATTACTGTTTTCGATTTTTATGTATTGTTTTCAATGAGTCGTATCTGACCTGCATGACTCGCTGCCATGGCTCGCTGGCTCGCATATTATACACTCTCTTATATCTCAAAATCTTGTTTTTAAACACCTTCTTGGACATGAAAACCAAAAACCAAAGCTTAATTGATATAATGAAGACAGTAGCAGTTGCCATAGGTTTTCAATAGTTATCTTGTGAGATGTCTCTCATGTATTATTTATTAGGGAGGAGGATTTGTTGAAGATGATACATTAATATAGATGCTTTTTCGTCGAGAGAATCTCAATAATTTAGGATTTATTCAAAGACAAACATATTCAATATTATGACATAAAATGTGGGCTTATTGCTCATGCAAAGGTATTGATGGGGGAGAGTGTGGCATTTTTCCTGTTTCAGATTGACCTTTGCACAGCACAGGGACTGAACATATTATGCATTTGGCATTTGTAAAGTATAAACAATATTTGACGCAAGGGATTGAACATAATGTGGAGAAAATCTTCACAAGCCTCCGCTTCCATGACTCCTTCCTCGTCTATCTCCTTTAAAGCCCCTTGAATAAGGGCCACAGCGTGTCTTCTATGGTTGAATGGTCATTGAGTGTGAGCTTCCACTCACAAGGTATATAAGCCCCCTCCAACCTGTTTCCCTCTTACCCATTTTTGAGAGGGAGGAGGGGCTTTTGTGGTGGTAGGTAAGCCTGTGACCACACTACAAAGAAACAAAAACACATGTTTGATTTTACTGAGGTAGGGTTGAATTTGGACATTAAATTTTTTATTACAGAGTAGCACGAGGCGTACCCTGGTCCCAGAGGTTTTTCTTGATTTTTCTTCGCGAAAGAGATCAAGAGCAAACCGCGAAGCGGCGTCAACGAGTCGCGAAAGCGACGAGGAGAGACAGAAAAACCTCTGGTTACCTTGACCTCGAATCTCACTTCCATGCGGACGACAGCTGTCAAACGCGTCAAATTGCTAATAAAAAGAGTGACCAATGGCAACTTAGCAAACACGTGCTTATCAGCCGCTATTTTTTTAAGTGGGGGTAGACCTGGGGAAATTATGTTATGAACAAACCATCTTCACTTGGGTGGTAAAGAGTGATTTGTTAATCGGAGTCAAGCTAAAGCATGTGTTAACAATGGGCGACAAGAGTCCAAGAATAAGAAGACCACTTTATAAAGAAACCGACATTGTTCCAAACGAATGCTGCAGGATTTGCAGAATTTATTTGGGTATAATAACAAGGATTTTTCACAAACATTGTCATCTGTTCTGTCGGCAGTGTGCCAGCGGGAAGTTGTAAAGTTTGCAAGAGTCTATCAATCGCGCTTATTACATTGTTTACTTCTGCGGGGCGCGCCGTTCGCGTCGATTCGCGGGCATTCCCCTGAAAATAGTAATATTAATATGTATTCTGGCAATCTGGCTCGCATTTTGGTTTGGTTGCTCCATTTCCTTTTTTTGTGGAACAGCGACGCTAGGAAGAGTCATGCAGCACAACAAACCCTTAAGGTTCGGAATGTACTTTCAGAGGTTTTTGTTGGCCCAATAGACCTATTCGGCTAACTCAATGTACCCAATTCAAACCCTTTGGGAATAAAACGTTTTGTTTCAGGAATTTCCATATCATTTAAATGTGAATGCCACATTATAATGCAAGTGCAATACACAAAGAATCTTATCCCCGGGAGATTTGAATTGGGTACAACATTGAGTTAACCGAATAGGTCTATGCCAAAAATAGCGTCGGTTAGATCTTTTTGGGCGTCGCAGGAAAATCAAGCTGCACCGAAAATGATTACGCACTTGTACAAAGTTGTATGTTTTTTTTTTTTCCTACAAGGAAACTTTCATTCCGTATTCGGAGATTTTTATTTTGCTGCCCTAAACAAGTTAGTTTATTTAATGGAATGACAGTATTGTAACAGAAAATATACTTTCCATGTCCGGTTGATAAAATGGTGAACACATCCTTTCGACTCAACGCAGCGAACAAAGCTTTCTTTTGTTGCTCAGTGAGACTCGGGAAAGCGCTCATTAAGTACCGAGGTCAAAATTTCTTCGAATATTCTTTCAGGAACAACATCCATGGCGTGCCTCTACGTGCCTTGGTCCCGTGCAAATGTTATTGCGAGTGCAGCATACAAACAATTTTCTTCCCTAGTAGAGAGAGGCAAAATGAGGTGTGAAAATCCTCAGCGTCCCCTCGGTAGTTACGATTAAACGAGCCAATCAAATTGGTTTGCGCGTTTGAAAAAATATCAACCAATCAACGCCCGAGGGTCAGATCCTGACCCTGTCGTCTGCATGGAAGTGAGATTCGAGGTCAAGGTAACCAGAGGTTTTTCTCTCTCTCCTCGTCGCTTACGCGACTCGTTGTCGCCGCTTCGCGGCTTGCTGTTGATCTCTTTCGCGAAGAAAAATCAAGAAAAACCTCTGGGACCAGGGTACACGAGGCGAATCTAAAGCAACATTTTGCCCTCAGAGCACAAATATGTCGTTCTGAAGATATTTAACATTTGTCTTCCTTGTTCCTTTTCCCAGCTTTTTGGCACAAACGCGACAACATGTTTGTAATATGTCCAGATGTTTGTCTACATTTTGGACGGACATCCTGATCAAAATATAAGAAATCAATATAAGAACCTACTCACACTGATTTAAAACTCATTCCAGACACATGATCTGGATTTCTAGATCAGAGTCGCATACATTGCCGGTGAACACAACCAAAAACAGACTTGATCGCTTATAACTAAAAATACATAGACAGACTAAGGCATAACCATCAATATAGTAACCCTTCCTGTCCGTTGGCAATTTTCAATGTGTGGTTACCACTTTTACTAGGTTGTTACCATCGATGAAACTTTGCCTGAACACACCTTACACGTTGTAGTTTTGAGGAAAATTAGTCTTGATTTCGTAAAAACTGGGAAAGATACTGAAAACTAAACATAAAGACATGTACTTACATTCGATGCCCGTCAAGATGGCGGCGACGTCTTCGAACGCTGTTTAATAACTGTCGATTTTAACTACCGTAATGTGGCACGAAACTGCTCTTGACTTTCAAAAAGCAAGGAAAAGGCTTCTTCATCAACACTGCTAGCTCGGAAGTCCCGGATATTGAACGAGTGGACCTGGAACAGGCTTTGAAAAAAGCTCCCTTGTTTTTGGCGTTTATTTTTTCCCATTTTTGCGTATTTTTAGCAGAACAATGGAATCATGACGTCATCGCTTCTTCCAAAACTGGCATACTCCCGAACTGTTTAACGTAACGTAATAGTTTTTATTTGAGATGCTTGCTGAAGGTTTGTACTATATGTAAATCAAAGCCAAATAACTATTAGAATTTTTTCAAGTAACACTGTTAATAAGACAAGGCAATAGCGCTAAAAGGAAACGGTGCAAAAAATTGCTAACACGACTGAACAATACAACTAGGAGATTAAAACTACGCTATAATGTAAAAAGTAAACAAACACGCTAGAGAACATGCTACAATGAGGGACAAAAGTGTTGACACACTTCCGTAAAATGGCCCCTTTTTGCATAGTGGATATACTTATCCCCTTCCCCTGTCTACCCCAACCCCTTCCCCCCAAAATCAATGTTGAATTTTGGACCCTCAAGTCTTTTTTTTACTTCAGACAACATTGATTCGGGGGGTCGGGGGATTTACGGCCTTTAAAAGGAATGAAATAATAAATGAATTAAATGTTTGTTAAAAGCACCCCTTTTCAACAAGTGTGTCAACTACTTTTGTCCCTGATTGTCTGAAATATGTATCTGTGTTTTCCGGCTAGATTTTTGACGCTGCTGAATTTTGTGCGATGACGTTACTCTATGGGCCAAATTGGTTGTTTTTAAACATCAGTTTATAAAGTTTCGTCCTGATTTGTAGTGTACGTAGAGTAAAATGTACGAAGCGTATGTCATTACTTAATCTTGTACTCCCGCGCGCGTTCCTGATACCCTGTCGGGTCGAGACGAAATCATTTGTGTTGTGATCAATGCCGTTGCTGCGGATGTAATGTTTTCACAAGTATTATCAATAGTGGAAAAAGGATGCAAATACTAAGGTACAATGAAAATTGTTCTGGTAAATGGTTAACTTAAGCGAATGAAGTACTGCAGAGTAACAGAGGGGACATGCATTATTTTTGACATTGACCTTTTCCATTAGTGAAAGGACGTGAACAATATACAGGTTATGAACCTCATAAATGATGGGCCAGCCGTTTGTGCTATGCCCTATATATAGATGTGTTTTTTATTTTTTTGAGACCTTTTCTAACCTAACTGATCCAAACCTTTGGCGTAGGTAGGCGTCGAACAGGTTAGACCAGGTTAGGAATGTACTTTTGTAATGATTTTACATGACCGCCTGCTGATTGTTTATTGATGTTGGACGGACAACTATTTCATTTCCCAGCTCGCAAATCACAGAATGCCAAAGAAATTGTTTTCAAGATAGACACACCAGTTTGTATCATCGCCAATACAGCAATTACTTTGGCCCAGAGGTTCACTTGATGACAAGCAAAGCGGGATAACACGCGATCGATGACGTCCGTGCGCTGGAAAATTTTCGTTTTTTATGCGCTAATTCCTCACAAAAGGCAAAAGAAGATTCCGCTATGTAGAAAGTGCTTCGCAATACGTATTCTTGGCGAGAAAAATTCCAGCGATGTGGTGCAAATAAGGAGTTTCAACGGTTAACCACGAGAATACATATCGACATTAAGAGGTCATAACAGACTAAGTTACTTTCCGTTTGCCGAAACGTGGTTAACCGTTGTAACACGAAGGAAGCAGTGTTTTCCTCAGTTTGAGCTGCCGTTTTCTTTGAGATTCAAATACCAGTTCACGTTTCAAAGCTCTCTTTTCATTTTCTCTGCCGACAATAGACAAAAACAAAGGGTTTCGCTTGAGAAATGCAGTCGAAATACAGAGACATATGCGCTTATGTCACGCTATTTGTTGCGTTATCATGTCACACAGGGTGTCACGAGGTGGGATTGAAAGTAATTGTTTTCGTGTACACTTGCAATGTTTGCTACGCTGTCCTTAGTTTTTTATTGAATTGGCCATGAATTTACCTCCACTTTTCCGTAGTTTCGATATTCAACGCAGTGACGGCCGCTCCTCACTAACGCTCCATATTTCCGTGGCCGGCCAGTGACTATCCCCACTACGTGTCAATCCTTACCCTATCCGTGATTGTTTGGGCCTTAACAATCGGATAAAGTGAAGAACGAGAAATATTCACTTTATTAAAAATATTTTCAGTACGCACCCCCTTGAAATTCATCAAAAGTTGTACATAGGCGCGAGTTTCAGCGTCAGTTTTTCGCTGGTAAACCATATCGACGTTAAATAACAATTATTCACCGAAGTGGAGGTGGCTAGTCGTGGATATTTTACCGAACTGCGAAGCAGTGAGGTAAATATCCACAACTAGCCACCGACACTGAGGTGAATAATTGTTTTAGTATATACTAAAACAGTGAGATAATTGAGCACAAAAATGATGATTTTAACTCAAATACTGTTGCCAACGATTACAATTTTGGCGCGTAATGACCGGGCGGCCGCGGCCGTCGCTTTTTCTTGCCGACAATTAAAACTTTTGCAGACATTTGTTTAGCTCTTGCTTGAAATTTCTTCAAAAAAAAAGGTGTGCATTCTTTTTGTATTTAAAATCATTCTATAACAAAAGATTATTAAATTTAGTTTTAAGCTTATTTATGAACAACTCAACTAAATAAAGTAACGCAAGACTTAAACTTAATTTGCATTTGTAAACAAAAATTTTTTCACCGGTTTTATCGATAAATTTGTGTCAAAAAGACAAAGCTTTACCTGTTAAAACTTCCAATCCGAACTTCGTCACCATCTTCGTGTATTTTGGAAACAGCTTGCTTGATTAGTTGTGAAATTTCTTTGTTTGTTTACGGCAGCAAACCGGGAAGGTATTTTGCTCGCAACTTACGCGAGTTTGGCGTCGCTCGCTCGGAGGAACTGGAGGTGAATCAGTGAATAGTGCAGGATATTCACTGATTGAGTAGCCAATCAGAGCGCGTGAAAAACACTATCCACTGTTTTAGTATATACTAATTCTGGATATCGCAGCCCTTTTATTGCGTCATCGCGTAATTCGAATTGGCCCTATAATTCGGTCGTGAATAAGTCTATGTCACCCCCACCACCAATAACGTAATTATGTCATTGATTCCTTTAATCTCAGTTAAAATCAGTGTCATACACGGCTCAACTTGTGTGCAGGAGCACAATTTTGCATTCAGACAATGAGGGACAAAAGTGTTGACACACTTCCGTAAAATGGCCCCTTTTTGCATAGTGGATATACTTATCCCCTTCCCCTGTCTACCCCAACCCCTTCCCCCCAAAATCAATGTTGAATTTTGGACCCTCAAGTCTTTTTTTTACTTCAGACAACATTGATTCGGGGGTTCGGGGGATTTACGGCCTTTAAAAGGAATGAAATAATAAATGAATTAAATGTTTGTTAAAAGCACCCCTTTTCAACAAGTGTGTCAACTACTTTTGTCCCTGATTGTCTGAAATATGTATCTGTGTTTTCCGGCTAGATTTTTGACGCTGCTGAGTTTTGTGCGATGACATTACTCTATGGGCCAAATTGTTTGTTTATAAACAACAATTTGTAAAGTTTCGTCGTGATTAATTTGTAGTATACGCAGAGTAAAATGTACGAAGCGTATGTCATTACTTAATGTTGTACTCCCGCGCGCGTTCCTGATATCCTGTCGGGTCGAGAGGAAATCATTTGTGTTGTGATCAATGCCGTTGCTGCGGATGTAATGTTTTCACAAGTATTATCAATAGTGGAAAAAGGATGCAAATACTAAGGTACAATGAAAATTGTTCTGGTACATGGTTAGCTTAAGGGTCCTTAAGCGAATGAAGTACTACAGAGTAACGGAGGAGACATGCATTATTTTTGACATTGACTTGTGCCATTAGTGAAAGGACGTGAACAATATACAGGTTATGAACCTCATAAATGATGAGCCAGCCGTTTGTGCTATGCCCTATATATAGATGTGTTTTTTTTTTTGGAGACCTTTTCAAACCTAACTGATCCAAACCTTTAGCGTAGGTAGGCGTCGAACAGGTTAGACCAGGTTAGGAATGTACTTTTGTAATGATTTTGGATGACCGCCTGCTGATTGTTTATTGATGTTGGACGGACAACTATTTCATTTCCCAGCTCGCAAATCACAGAATGCCAAAGAAATTGTTTTCAAGATAGACACACCAGTTTGTATCATCGCCAATACAGCAATTACTTTGGCCCAGAGGTTCACTTGATGACAAGCAAAGCGGGATAACACGCGATCGATGACGTCCGTGCGCTGGAAAATTTTCGTTTTTTATGCGCTAATTCCTCACAAAAGGCAAAAGAAGATTCCGCTATGTAGAAAGTGCTTCGCAATACGTATTCTTGGCGAGAAAAATTCCAGCGATGTGGTGCAAATAAGGAGTTTCAACGGTTAACCACGAGAATACATATCGACATTAAGAGGTCATAACAGACTAAGTTACTTTCCGTTTGCCGAAACGTGGTTAACCGTTGTAACACGAAGGAAGCAGTGTTTTCCTCAGTTTGAGCTGCCGTTTTCTTTGAGATTCAAATACCAGTTCACGTTTCAAAGCTCTCTTTTCATTTTCTCTGCCGACAATAGACAAAAAAAAAAAGGGTTTCGCTTGAGAAATGCAGTCGAAATACAGAGACATATGCGCTTATGTCACGCTATTTGTTGCGTTATCATGTCACACAGGGTGTCACGAGGTGGGATTGAAAGTAATTGTTTTCGTGTACACTTGCAATGTTTGCTACGCTGTCCTTAGTTTTTATTGAATTGGCCATGAATTTACCTCCACTTTTCCGTAGTTTCGATATTCAACGCAGTGACGGCCGCTCCTCACTAACGCTCCATATTTCCGTGGCCGGCCAGTGACTATCCCCACTACGTGTCAATCCTTACCCTATCCGTGATTGTTTGGGCCTTAACAATCGGATAAAGTGAAGAACGAGAAATATTCACTTTATTAAAAATATTTTCAGTACGCACCCCCTTGAAATTCATCAAAAGTTGTACATAGGCGCGAGTTTCAGCGTCAGTTTTTCGCTGGTAAACCATATCGACGTTAAATAACAATTATTCACCGAAGTGGAGGTGGCTAGTCGTGGATATTTTACCGAACTGCGAAGCAGTGAGGTAAATATCCACAACTAGCCACCGACACTGAGGTGAATAATTGTTTTAGTATATACTAAAACAGTGAGATAATTGAGCACAAAAATGATGATTTTTAACTCAAATACTGTTGCCAACGATTACAATTTTGGCGCGTAATGACCGGGCGGCCGCGGCCGTCGCTTTTTCTTGCCGACAATTAAAACTTTTGCAGACATTTGTTTAGCTCTTGCGGGGAAATTTCTTCAAAAAAAGGTGTGCATTCTTTTTGTATTTAAAATCATTCTATAACAAAAGATTATTAAATTTAGTTTTAAGCTTATTTATGAACAACTCAACTAAATAAAGTAACGCAAGACTTAAACTTAATTTGCATTTGTAAACAAAAATTTTTTCACCGGTTTTATCGATAAATTTGTGTCAAAAAGACAAAGCTTTACCTGTTAAAACTTCCAATCCGAACTTCGTCACCATCTTCGTGTATTTTGGAAACAGCTTGCTTGATTAGTTGTGAAATTTCTTTGTTTGTTTACGGCAGCAAACCGGGAAGGTATTTTGCTCGCAACTTACGCGAGTTTGGCGTCGCTCGCTCGGAGGAACTGGAGGTGAATCAGTGAATAGTGCAGGATATTCACTGATTGAGTAGCCAATCAGAGCGCGTGAAAAACACTATCCACTGTTTTAGTATATACTAATTCTGGATATCGCAGCCCTTTTATTGCGTCATCGCGTAATTCGAATTGGCCCTATAATTCGGTCGTGAATAAGTCTATGTCACCCCCACCACCAATAACGTAATTATGTCATTGATTCCTTTAATCTCAGTTAAAATCAGTGTCATACACGGCTCAACTTGTGTGCAGGAGCACAATTTTGCATTCAGACAATGAGGGACAAAAGTGTTGACACACTTCCGTAAAATGGCCCCTTTTTGCATAGTGGATATACTTATCCCCTTCCCCTGTCTACCCCAACCCCTTCCCCCCAAAATCAATGTTGAATTTTGGACCCTCAAGTCTTTTTTTTTACTTCAGACAACATTGATTCGGGGGGTCGGGGGATTTACGGCCTTTAAAAGGAATGAAATAATAAATGAATTAAATGTTTGTTAAAAGCACCCCTTTTCAACAAGTGTGTCAACTACTTTTGTCCCTGATTGTAGGTCACGAAAGAAGAACAAGCGTGACAAATAGCACGTGACTCGTGTCAAGAGTCATGATACGAAACAAGATCCTAAAACATAACAAAAGCGATAGTAAACGAGGGTCAAACTGAGGTTGTGATCTTAGGTACAATTTAACTTGCTCCCCACTGACCGCCGCGCTCTACTTTCTGAACGCCTGGAACAAGCTATTGTGATCTACGATATCGCACAAAAACGTGACACAACAAAGCAAAACGTACAACGGCTTCGTTCAGATGAATTATATTTTTTTTAACTTTTTTTTTTGACTGAAATTGTAGCTATAGATACTATCTTCTCACCAGATGAATCTTGTTTTCCAGGGTTTATGATTTGCAGCAATACTATGTAAAACAGATGAAAGAGGA